TACAATGAGACGGCAAAAGGCATAGTAGATTGACTACAAAATGTTTTTCAAGTTTTGATAATGTTTGTCAATCAAATATGACAGGAGGCTTTATATATTATTAAAACAATAAGGTTAAGGGTCTGTCTAAGTAAGTGATTCACCCAAAATGAAAATTCAGAACCCATAGGCTATGACTTTCTTGCGTGCAACAAAAAAGTTTACTTTGAAAACATTCATGCTGGCGTATAGCCAAAATACTGTATATTTAACTTTTGTCAGCTTTATGCAGCACATATGGACAAATGTTAGCGAAATTTGATAGACTTGCGTTTCAGCTTTTCAGTTTGTATGGTGCATTATTGTCTCTGAAAGCCTCTTGAAAGTCATACAAATGAGAAAAAGATATGGAATATGGAGATATGGAAATTCAATGAATAGCCTTTTGTTTTCATACAAAACCTTTTAAAAAGGTTTAACATGTTCCTCTGGTGTTTCAAGATCACTATTACTTCGATAATAGTTATGCTGCTAATGGAATACTCTGAAAACATAATATTGACAAATATTTAGTAAGTATAAATTATCAAAACTGCCGGGAGGATGTTTGTTCTCAGTTGCTTTGCTCTTGTCTGCTCATGGCAAATGAGCTATAAATGAAAATGAAAGTGTGAGGTTGTGTGTCGACACTGAAGCCCCTGGCACACTGATTCCATTTGCTTCTATTCACTCCAAATGCTGTCAGCTTTCCACTGTTAATGTGAACGAAGTAAATGACTCTTAATGATGATACTGATTTCTGTTTTGCAGTGTGTAATTCATATTGTGCAATGGAGTTATTAGCATCTAGATGTGAATTAACAAAAGTGCACTTCATTCAGAAATGCACTCAAAATGCAAACCCTAGCATATGATATGAGGTTTTTAATTTTAGCTGTATCTAAATATGTAACCTTATAGATAAAATAAAATTTAAATATGATGTATCAAGTAAACATTGCGGGGGGGGGGGGGGGGGGGGTAATGAAAATGGTTAATCGTTTGCCTTATTTATTATTAATTTATGAAAATATCTTGCATTTGTGTTTCTCATTTCTCATTTTTTCCCACACATTTCCAGACAGTTTGATTCATTCAGGAAGCATTTCTACTTTCATGATGCTTAATGTTATGTTTAGGGGGCATTTCTCCATCAGGCTAGCGTGAATCTGCACTCCACAGTTACAGGTTCCCGAGGGAGACGTTTGGAGGACGCAGATGTGTTCATGCTAGCAAAACCAAATGGGAACGAGGTCTCTTGGCTACTCTCTACTGACCAACAGCCTACGGGTCTGTATGCAAGGGACTGAGACATAAAAGAAAAGGAAGTGAAATGGGGAATCAGGTATTGCATTTACATTAAACATATTTGAAATGTAATACACATTATTTTGTTCCAAACATTATTTATCATCTGAAATAGTACACATTCAAGAGGGGAAACATAAACTATAAGTGTTTTTGTATTAAAAATATTTTACTACTGCATGCATATATATATATATACATACATATTTTAATACTTACATATTGCATTTAAATAGTCGGGTTCAGTGATTGCTGTTGGCATGCAATTACTTCCTCTGAAACCCTCTACGTCCCCCAGCTCCACCTGCCTAAATCTGCTACTGGATTTATGTAGTATGTCTTTTTATGCGGCAGCGGCATACTCACAGCAGCGTGTCTTTCTCTCTATATCAGTCATAGCAAGTCCATGCTTGCTCTGCAGCAGCAACATCGCAGATCTAATCTGCCAAGACCAAATACATTAACATTGCCATATTCATTAACGTGCAAAAACTATTGCGAGAGTTGTCATGATTAAAATATATTTGATAACAGCTTTTAAAAAGCACCACTCGTTGGCAAGACGTCAAAGGTGTCCATTTAGCACTTTATTTACTACTTATTAATAGTAGGCCTATACACAAAATTAAATAGAAAAGTGTATACAATTTCTTATAATAAAACAAATTGGACATGAAATATTTTTCAACTTAAACTGTTAAAGGTTGTATCAGCGATTTCAGGCCCAAAAAAGGCCCAAACATAAATGATCACATTCATCTAATCTTTCCTAACGATCCACTAGCTGCCCGCCCCATAAGCAGGCTGTCAAAAAAACGCGTCTCTGTAGGCAGCATCACCAAGTCAAGTCAAGTCAAGTCAAGTCACCTTTATTTATATAGCGCTTTTTACAATACAGATTGTATCAAAGCAGCTTCACAGTGATAACATGAAAATAATACAACAAAGTTTGTTTCTAGAAGAAAACCAATCACCGGGGGAGGGGGAGGGGGAGGGGGAGGAGGGAGAGGGTGGGGGGGGGGAGGAGGGAGAGGGTGGGGGGGGGGGGGGGGTTTGGGGTGTTGTGAGGTTTTGCGCTCGCACGGCTGCACGCGAAGGCGAAGGCGGAGCTGAAGAAGAAGCCAGCGTCTATCAACGAACCCATGTCGGTGATTGGTTGGAACACTATTTATTTTGGTTTTGAGTGGTTGGTGAAACCAATTGTTGTTGTGTGCAGATCTCAGAACCTTGGCTGCCTACAGAGACGCGTTTTTTGACGGCCTGCTTATGGGGCGGGCAGCTAGCGGATCGTTAGGAAAGATTAGATGAATGTGATCATTTATGTTTGGGCCTTTTTTGGGCCTGAAATCCCTGATACAACCTTTAATAAAATAAACTAATAACTAAACATCATCACATCATTATTTTAATAACTGAAATATTTGGACATTTAATACTTACATAATTTCATTAAAGTTTGTTGTGAATACACGTGGGGTAAGTGGTATAAGTAGAAATTAATGTGCATTGATTTAAAGCAGAACGGTGAAGGTGTGTCTTATTTCATGTTAATGCCCTTTTAATTCTGAACAGAAATGTCTTATTTGGTCTGAAGCCTAATGTTGTCTAGATTGTTGCTTTAGTCAGATGTACTACTTCTTAAATTCTTTTTTGAGCTTCACAAAGACTTGACAGGAGTAGAAAAACTGGCAATAACTTTAGAAAGTGATTTCATCACACTGATCTTGTGTTAAAACATGTTTTGTTTTACTTTCCAAAGAGTGTATTTTGGTGAAATGTATTGCCCAATAGACTGAATTGAAAGCCTTATACAGGTTTGGACAGTGTTTATGAAGGTCCTTTGCCATTTTATCTGTATCCTCTGCTTCACTGGAGTCATTCTGACATTACATTGGCAATGATGGCAACTGCTATACACTCACCTCTCTGTGTCAGGTCTTCAGACATGGTCAGTAAATGAGGGCAGAAACAAGCCTGTGGAGAGTATTCACATTCTCCCACTGAGAGCAAAGAGCATTCACACAGTGTTGATTTGTTAGTCACAGCAGGCGTATCACAGCCTGTTATGCACAGACAGCAGGGCCTCTGTCTGGATCGGGAAATATGGAAAGCACTTCAAATTTCTGGAGCACAGATAATTGTTGCCTCTAACAGGTTAACAGGTTGATGTAACAGGTTCTCTCCTCGCTGATACAATGGCCGGCAAGAGCTATATCCTCATTGTTGGGGTTTAAAAGACAATTAATATTCAGTATTGATTTGACTGCACTGACACTATCAGATGAGAATTCAACTTTAAATGAATTTAGCTGGGCAATGATTGTTTTCTGTAGAGCTGCTTTTTTTCATAATTCATGACCTTTGGTACACTGACACTGTTAATGAACCGACTTAAATCAACATTGACCTGAATTGAGCTACTGACACTATTGACTTCTGTGGAGCTTCTTTTTTGCTGAACTTGTTTCATAATTGAAAAACTTTGCACTGTTGTTGAACTGAATTGAACTGAATAATGACACTATTGTCCTCTGTAGAGCTGCTTTACAGCTGAAAATTAATTTGTTTCATAACTGATGAATTATTATGATAGTTAACAGTATTACTGTGATGTTGCTTTGAAACAATCTGTATTGTATAAAGCACTGTATAAATAAATGTGACTTGGCTTGTGTCATATTGTGGTTTCCACTCGTCTTCTTTAAAGAACTGCAACAGTCAATGATTCTTTTAATTATTCAGGACCTTGTAAATGTCCCCACTGGCCACTCCGTAAGGTTTGCACTCACAAGCTCATTGACTAAACTACAGTATTTAGTCACGGTGATTTTTTTCAACTGTGAGCCAGCACTGGATTCCTGCCCGCCTTCTCTACAAGAGAGGCACTTCAAACTGATCTCTGCTATTTGCTCACTTGACAGTTTAATGACAGTGTTTAGGACCAGAGCTAGGACAAATGCAAAGGAAATATTTTCATTTGAACATATATTTTCTCTAATGTAATTAAATGTGACCAAACAGAAAAATGGCAGAGCCAACAAGCCGAAGAGTCCGATCGACACTACAGGCTTTAGAGACCAAGACAACACTGCAGGGATGATTAGCCGAGGTGAAGCCATGGCGCCAGAGGATTGAGGTGAAGCTGGAGGGAAGGTGGGGGCCGAAGGCCCGGAAGTCCATGTTGCAGGCAGAGCGATGACTGACCAAGGCGGCGCCGTCTGGCTGAGGAAGCCGGGTGGAGCCGGTGGAGTCATCTGGCTGAAGTGGAGTTATGGGCACGGAGGTTCAAGATGGAGCAAAGAGTTTGACTGTCTAGGGCTGGACTGGCTAACACTCAGGCCAAGGCGAATTCACAAAGCAACAAACAGGTAAGGTGTGAGGAGATGAAGGGCTGAGGAGAGGACGTGCAGACAGGGCTGAAGAACCGGGAAGTGCAGACAGGCATTCACAGAATGGATTTCCTAGCCGATACCATAGATATATACACTAGATCTTGCCTTGGGGTTCTAAGCATGCGTCAAAACCGCCGCCATCTTGGAACAGGGGTCTTGTCATAGGAAGTAGCTAGGTAACGCTGCTATCTCCGCTACTTCGAATTCATGGATTTTCGGACTTTTGTGCTGCGTATGGATGTTCACACGAACGAAATCTGAACTTTTTTTTTAAAAAAATTCTCTGGACTCAATGATAAATACATGTCTGACCATTGGAACGAACCAAAAAACTAGAAAAATCGCATTCATGACGATTTATGGTGATTTTATTTCCGTTAGACCTTTGCCTACATTGACGCTTCTGTATTAAAGAGGAGGGGCTCCCTTGTTCCATGGTGGCGGCTCTATTGAAGCATTCGTTCCAATGAACTGCCGTAGCCAAGGTGACATCTAGTGTATATATCTATGGCCAATACAGGACAGACACATATCTCAGGAACGGTGCTCTTGGTCGACGCAGAACAGACAGAGGTGGTCGAAGTTAGAGTCAGGGTGAAAACACAGACATCAACAACTCAGTATTGGGCGATGAGACAGGCGAGGTGCAGGGTAGCGAAACAGTTATGATACAAATCACGCTCAAAATCAATAAGGAGCTCATAGTCCAGAACCTTTTTAATAATGGGACAGGGTTCCATTCCAACCACTCTTACTCTTCTACAGGGACAAGTGATGTTGCCGGCTCATGTACCTGGTCAGACCTGGTTGGCTCGGGCTCTGGGGCGATCTGTGGCTCAGGCGTCGACTCTGGCTTTCGTATCATGGCTCGGGCTCAGTGTCTGTGGTGGGCTCTGGTTTCATGGTCGCTGGGCCGGTGGCTGTGGATGGTGCACTGTGTTCCTCCTCACTCTCGCAGATGGTGAAGGGGGAACTGTTGTGGAGGAGTGCCCAGTCCTCATACTCCTTGAACGTCCCTTGATGACCGTCTCTGGGCAGGCGCGCACTCTGCATTGAGACCTGCACAGAAAAAAGGCATCAGGCTGTCGTCATCATATTGAACGAGATGGTACAAGAACGCTCGTCTGTGTCTCTTGAGGGATTGTTCCCCCTGCGAGAGAAGGATAATCTTTACTACTGCTATATCCTTAAGGTCAGTTCTTCTGTCACCATTGGTTTAAAATAAAGATGCGTGAAAGGATCTAATAGCGGCGGTTTAAAACTTTATTTAACACATAGGACTAGAAACAAGATCAAACAACTGAGTAAAACGTGATGAGAATTGACAATTAACTGGAAGAAACACTGAGCTGAAATAGAACAAACAAACCAATCAACAACATGAATCACATGTGCAAACGATAATCAAACAATGAGTAAGCAATTAAACAAACTCAAACACAGGAAACAGAACTATGAGCAAAACCCACACAAACAAACAGAAACAAAACCCTGATTATCCCATACAGTGGAAAATATTCATAATAAAGAATTAATAGATCCAATAGTGTACAGATTTTGACTGGTAGTGCATGTGTTTTTGGTCTTTGCACACATTCAAGATTCAGTCTGCGCTGGATATTGATAAAAATATAATTTGACAGTGTACATGTAACCTATTCGTACATATACACATATATAAAATATAGCAAAACAAGTTGTTTTTATAAGGCTGGGGAAATGTTGGCGCTTTAAAGAATGGGCTACCAGTCTGTTAAAGGAGAACAAGTGGTGCAAAGGAGAAAAAAAAAAAGAATTTAAAAGAAAATCACTTGAAACACTTAAATGGATTACTCTTCAGGGCCTGACTCAACATGGCTGGAACGCTGGATAAGCTTGGTGCAGATGTGACTTAACATGCAAACAAAGTCCAAGGATTATTTGAATAATGTGCACAAGTTGGAGGTGTAATTTTTTTTTAGCAGAACATCCAGCTCAATGTCAAAGTAGTCCCTCTTGTTTTATAGCTATGGTTACGCTGACCAGTGGCCAATCAATTTGCTTAACACAACAAAAACATTTGCAATCAGTCAGTGCCAGATTTGGTGGGTACTGGCTGTTGAACTAAGTGATGGGGAAATTCAGAGGAAGAGAGAGCTTGGGGACTGCCGTCGTCTTCTCTGCATGTTTGTCTTTTTTTCGTCCCTGCCTTTTATTCTCTCTGTTCTGAGTGTTTTCTTTCCCCCAGGCCACCCCTCTTCCTCCCTGCATCTGATGTCTTTAAAGTCAGTTTGTGACAGGTTCACTCTGGTTCATTTAGCAAGTCTTTGCAATGATTTATTCTGTTTAACTGAACAAACTCGTTAAGTAAATGTACTTATATGAATTACAGTTCATGTAATTATATATATATCCACACACATACACACAACGGCCACTATTGCAACTGCTCATTAACGCCAATCACTGGCAACAACTCATTTGCAAGTGCATTTAGGCATGTAGACATGGTCAAGATGTTCTGCTGAATTTCAAACTGAGCATCAGAATGGGAAAGAAAGGTGATTTAAGTGACTTTGAATGTGGCATGGTTGTTGGTGCCAGACGGGCTGGTCTGAATATTTCAGAAACTGCTGATCTACTGGGATTTTCACGCACAATCTCTAGGATTTACAGAGAATGGTCTGAAAAAAGAGAAAATATACATTTAGCTGCAGTTCTGTGGGAAAAAAATTCCTTGTTGATGCCTGAGGTCAGAGGAGAATGACCAGACTGGTTCGATGATAGAAAGGCAACAGTAACCGAAAAAATAACCACTCGTTACAACCAAGGTCTGCAGAAGAGCGATTATATAAATATTATACATAAATGAGAATTTAATAAAAACAATTGCAGTTATACAATATCAAATTCGCATTGCCAGTATTTACAATAAGCATGCTCTTCACATTTACAGCACATGAGTCCCTTTAGCAATGGAATCGGTGCCTCCCTTGCACCAGGAGGCTTTAGTTTGATTGACAGCTGCTCAAGCTACACAGCCAGAGATGGGATCTCTACACTGCTGCGCTTGTTCTTGGGTAAATGGGCAATACAGCAGGAGTCTCTTTCATTAGCCGACTCCATTGAGAGAGACCCACACACAAACCCTCATTAATTAGTGCAAGACTATCACTAGCATCAACCGCTGAATGACAACTAGCTGTTTAGCTCAAGGAACCAAAGTCCCTCTTGAACTTTGATTTTCAAGTTGTTTCAAACCTGTATGAATTGCTTTCCTCTGCTGAGCACAAAAGAATATATTTTGAAGAATGTTGGTAACCAAACAGTTGATGTACCCCATTGCCTTCCATAGTATTTTGTTTCCTACTATGAAAGTCAATGGGGTACACTGTCAACTGTCTGGTTACCGACATTCTTCAAAATATATATTTTTTGTGCTCAGCAGAAGAATGAAATGCATACAGGTTTGAAACAACTTGAGGGTTAGTAAATGATGACATAATTTTCATTTTGAAGTCAACTATTCCTTTAAACCTTAGTGTGTAATAATCAACATGCGTTATTTGTGCTATGAACATGAATCTTGGCTTATTAAGGAGAAATGTGCTATTATTTTTCTTAGCAATCCAATTTATAAATTTCATTGGGTGGACAATAAAATGGCCAACTTGAGAAAATGTTAAATATTTAGACAATATTTACACCTTATAGAAAGCACATACACTATTGTTCAAAAGTCTGTCATTTTTTTCTTTTTTATTATAAATTAATAATGTTTAGCAAGGACACATTAAATTGATCAAATCTGACATTTACTGTCACTTTTATTACAAAAGATTTATTTTCCTATTTTTCTTTTAAAAATCAGATGAATCAAATAATCCTGAAAAAAAAAAAAATCACAGTTTCTACAAAAAACTAATAAAATGCATACAATTTTATATATACACTACCGTTCAAAAGTTTGGGGTCAGTGAGAATTTTATTTTTATTTTTTGGAGGAAAGAAATCAATACTTTTATTTATCAAGGAATAATTAATTTGATCGAAAGTGAGTAAAGACATAATGTTACAAAAGTCTTTAGAACTTCATATTCATCAAAGAATCCTAAAAAAAAAAAAAAAAAAAAAAACTGTACAACTGACAGACCAACAACTGTTTCAACATTTATAATAATAATAAATGTTTCTTGAGCATCAAATCCTCATATTATACTGATTTGTGAAGGATTATTTGACACTGAAGACACTGACACTGGTGATGCTGAAAATTCAGCTTTGATCACAGGAATAAATTACACTTTACTATATATTCACACAGAAAACAGCTGATTTACACTGGAATAATATTTAATACTATAACTGATTTTTGTTGTATTTTTAATCAAATAAGCGCAGCCATGGTTAGCAGAAGAGAATTATTTCAAAACTATTTAAAATCGCACCGACCCCAAACTTTTGAACGGTAGTGTATATATATATATCCTATATATTTTTTTTTTTCTACGCAGTAAAAAGTTTTTTATTGACATTGATATCAATAAGAAACATTTCTTGAGTAGCAAATCAGCATATTACAATGATTTCTGAAGAATCATGTGGCATTAATTAAAGACTGGAGTAATGATGCTTTGCCATCACAGGAATAAATTACATTTTAAAATATATTAAAATAGAAAACCATTATTCTAAATAGTAATAATATAACATTATTACTGTTTTTTTATCAAATAAATATAGCCTTGGTGAGTATAAGAGACATTTTAAATATGAAATTGTAGAGGCAAAACAAATACATGGACTTCTTGAACCAAGCTAAAGCAGATTGATACTTTGTTTAAGTTGGATGTTGTACCAGTGATGCCAACAGGGATGACTTCATTGCCATGTTCTCATAGAGAAGGCAACATGTTTCAGTGGCAGACACAGCCATGATTTGGGCGCTCAGCATGTCCACAGATGGCTGGGAAGAGAACGGATAGGCTGACCATGTGTATGGCCTATGGAGTTGGCACAGAGCAGGACTTACGTATTGCCATTGATGTGCATGTAAGACTACATACGGGCAACTAGTGGTCTCCGCAGACTCTTTGTTCCTCCATGTTGTTCACATACAATACTCCTTACCCCCAAGAGACATTCAAGACCGAGGCTGTCACACTCACAGCATCTTCCTCATTAGTGTTCAGGCTGTATAACGATGTGCCTTGATGAGCACTGACTTTTGCCTTTGGTGGTCCTGTTGTTGAGATCCACTTTGCCTGTATACAAAAGAGGGACAGAAATGAATGGCAGGTGCACATGTTTATTCCCAGCATGCCTGTTGATGCCACACGGCTGAACCCGTCTCCCTACTGCTGTCCAAGCTGCTCGAGTTTCTCAGACATGGTCAAAGGACATGTCAGAGAAAGGCTTTCCTATACCCTTAGCAAGACACTGTGGTCATACTCATTCAAATAATAGAGTGTAATAACAGGGTTCTAGAGGTAAACATTTGTTTCCCGCCACGGAATTGAAAAAATA